CCCCTGAGCCACGGTCGCCCCTGACTGTTAGTCACGCAGGTGTGATTTATGTGTGTCAGATGCAGCAGATGTTCTTCCCTCATCAAATGACATTTTCTCCAGCTGGAGGTTGTGTTTGTGTCTCCAAAGCAATGAAACAAACCCCCCTGAGGCAGGGTGGGGCTGTTCAGGTGTCAGGCGCAGTTTTTGTAGTGTGTCTGCTGAAGTGTGATCAGCAGGGCTTCGGGTCACTGCTGTAACAGTCGATCTTCTTGTCATTCCCAGATCATCTCCACAGCAGTGATGACCTACACAAAGCACTTCGACCAGCACGGACGCATTAAGGAGATCCAGTATGAGATCTTCAGGTCGCTGATGTACTGGATCACCATTCAGTATGACAACATGGGCCGAGTGACGAAGCGAGAAATCAAGATCGGGCCGTTTGCTAACACAACCAAATATGGTTACGAGTACGATGTGGACGGACAGCTGCAGACCGTCTCCCTCAATGAGAAGATGATGTGGAGGTAGGATCACAGCATTAAAGAAAGAAAACACTGGTGCCAAATAATAATCACCGATTATACTTTCTGTCCTTTCAGATATAATTACGATCTGAACGGGAATCTGCATCTGCTGAACCCCGGGAACAGCGGGCGTTTAACCCCTCTGCGCTACGACCTGAGGGACAGAATCACTCGGCTGGGAGACGTTCAGTATAGGCTGGACGAAGACGGCTTCCTCCGACAGAGAGGAGCTGAGATATTTGAATACAACTCCAAAGGTTTGCACAGTTTGACCAACAGACGCAACACAGAGTGGCACAGTAGTGTTCATCCTGTTGACGTTGACTGAACAGTTTAAATGATTACCCAAATCAAAAAACAGAAGTTTACAAATTGTGCCATAGAGCAAAGTTCACTCTAAAGGCTTAAACAGAGAACTAACCCTAAAGATAGTCATACATGCACTGAACATGTGCACTTTTCCCTTATAAAACACAACAGCATCAGTATTTCTTTTACAACAGGCCTACTAGTTCGTGTCTACAGCAAAGCAGCCAGCTGGACCATCCAGTACCGTTATGACGGCTTGGGTCGGCGAGTAGCGTCTAGGAACAGCCTGGGCCAGCACCTGCAGTTCTTCTACGCGGACCTGAACTATCCCACCAGGATAACCCACGTCTACAACCACTCCAGCTCAGAGATCACGTCCTTTTACTACGATCTGCAGGTACCACACTGAAGGAGTCGTGTGGCTCGCGGCGGTGCTTTGGCTAAAGTTAGAAGGTGGTTAAAAAAGGTCTCATGCTCGAAGCAGGCAAGACACCGAGTGCTGTGCTTTTGATGCACGACAGTCTGGTTACAGCAGGTTTCTCTCCAGTGAGCAGAGAGCGGTTTCTCCCTGTGATATATTTAGTTATTCTGCTAAAGCTAACGGTGCATCTATAACAGCTGACTGTGTTTACATATCTTTGTGACCAACAGCCGATAAGGGGACAAAATCCCAGTTTACAGACTCAAACTGTGGTTTTAGTGTCAGGGTAACACTTCGGTCGTAGTTGGGTTTAGGCATTCGTTTTTCATGGCTGGGGTTAGCGGCGCGATCTCCACAAAGATGTGAAAACACGGTGTGTGTGCAGCCTCATTATTTAGATCAGTTGTTCATTTACAGAACTGCATGATAGCAGGTTTTTGTTGTTATATCCAATGCTGGTTATTTTTGCACAGGGCCATGTGTTTGCCATGGAGATCAGCAGCGGGGAAGAGTTTTATATTGCATGTGACAACACTGGGACTCCACTGGCTGTGTTCAGCAACAACGGGCTCCTGCTTAAACAGGTACGCATGTTAGTCCTGCTGAAAGGCTTCAGCATGTGACTGTATTTATCTGACCTGCCTGTTTCTCCATCTCTGATGCGATTAACAGATCTTTGTGTGTCTGTGTGTAGGTGCAATACACAGCGTATGGTGAAGTTTACTTTGATTCCAACCCCGACTTCGTGTTGGTAATTGGTTTCCATGGAGGTCTGTATGATCCTCTGACGCGGTTGCTTCATTTCGGAGACAGAGATTATGACATTCCTGCGGGGAGGTAGGCGGTCTGACAGCACAAGTGTAACAGGTGACTGTGATGGTGTCGAGCATGAGCATGTCTGTGTTTTAAGGTGGACCACTCCTGACATCAGCACGTGGACACGTGTTGGTAAGGACCCTCAGCCCTTTAACCTGTACATGTTCCAGGGTAACAACCCCATCAGCAAGATCCACCAGGTCAAAGAATATGTGACAGGTAAAGGAGCACAGCCGCTTTGTTTCTACGTTTTCAGTCCATGTGTGTATCATCTGTTGCTTTAAGGTCACATAACCCGTGGGATAATTCCTGCTACACTACTCGACAAATCATTTTCATTTCATCAGATAAATAATAAGTCAAGTTTATTTATAAAGCACTCCTCAGTTAAATGAAGAAAGT